AAGTCCTTTACTAACACTGTATTTGTGCTCTTTTACACGCACTGCAAGGTTTCTTCTGGTCACCCCTACATATTCTTTATCGACTCCTATTTGTTGGTTTTCATATGGGATAGTGTACACCCCGCTTGCTCTTCCATTCTTATTTTGTCCTTATCGTTCCTTAATAATCTATATATGTTGGGTGCTCATTTGTAAATTATCCTTGTATTTTTGTATTTTCCTAGCTCATCCACTACTTTTCTTGTCTGTTCATTGTATGTGAACTTGTTGAATGCAGTTGTGTTGCTATGCGCTGTTGTAGTTCTTTAGCTTCTGTTGTTTTCCATAACTTCTGATAAGGCCTCTGATTGTGGCCGTTTTGTATCCTAAACTTCTTGCTACCTTTTGTATTCTATCCATTTCCTTGTCACGGTCTTGCACATTGGTGCAGTACAAGAAGGCCCTCTTTATAAGTGCCTTCTTGTACTAGGAGTCGATAAAGAATATGTAGGGGTGACCAGAAGAAACCTTGCAGTGTGTATAAAAGAGCACAAATACAGTGTTAGTAAAGGACTTAATAGCACAATATTGGCAAGCATGGCACAGGCCGACGGAGCAATAGTTAAGTGGGATGAAGCGAAGATCATAAGAACAGTGCACTCACCGTCTCTAGCGATGGAAATGGAAAAAATAGAGATACAAAAGTAAAATGAGGAACCGATGTTTAAATGAATAGGATGCAAATACATTACCAACAGCATGGAAATACAAAATACAAAAATGTATGGGTTTCAATAATCCATAAAGTGGGAACTGGGGTTTATAAGAAGTTATTATTTTATAAATTTAGACGCATGTAAAAATATGTTATTTAATGTTATTTAATGTTTGTAACGCGTATAAGGACATATTTATTTTACTTATTTTATTTTATTTATTTACTTTATTTTGTTTATTTATGTAATATACAAAAAGTTGTTAACTTATTTCGAAAATTCAAATCAAAATAAAATTTGAACGAATGGTTCCAATTTGGAACGATAAAAAAAAGCCTGAGGATGGCCTATCCAAATAGGCCAAAAACATTTGAATAAAAAGAAAAAAAAGCTCGGCAAGTAGAATTCAGGTGTGTTCATATTTATATTTAACATTGCTGAGAAGGAGAGAGATAATACTGATTACCAAATTTGATGACCATACTTTTGACCTTTTGATCACTAATACTAGTTTAAATAACTTATATAAAGTCTATATTAAAACATAATAATAATTAAAACACATAAAAAACAATAAGTGCAGAAATTTTTAAAAATATTTTAGCAATAATGAAAAAGAATTTTTCTTAAAACACTACTTACAGCCTGCTTGGATTCAATATTATATTCTATTCTTATAATATTTTTCATGGACTGGATCATTTGTAAAATGCAATCATTTATTAATATCTTAAAATCGTTTAGTGAAGGTTTTAATCTGATTCCTTTGGAATCAGCTTTAACCTTAATCCCAAAATATGGTTCTTTTATCTGAAATAAATATACAAGAATATTTTAAATTAGTTACTTCTTAATATGCATAACATAAAATAGCATATTAATTAATTAATATGTAAATTATCTGTAATGTAATAAGATATTAAATGTATTACATTTAAAAATATTAAAAATAATATTAAGTTATACAAGATATTCTAAAATTTATTCAAAATAATATATAATTAAAAGCATTCAATTAAAATACATCCTATTCTAGTAAAAATATCATTTGAAATTGCTAATCGTAATTATAATTGGTTTGGTAATGATAATGATAAATGATTTCAAAAGATATGAGTTGATGCTAATTGCTAGAAAACAATATTAAATGGTAACAAATTGTAGGTTTTTTGTAATAATTTACTTTGTAGAAGAGAATATTAATAGTGGAAATGATATGAATTGCTATCAAATGATCTTTTATGTTGTTGCATTTTTAAATTCTAAATACATGATATCAAATGTCAATTGACATCAATTACTAAGTGATATCAAATGATACCAATTGGTATTATTTATTAAGTGATGTCAAATCATATAATTTTGCAAATGTTCAGTTCATAAAAAATAATGTGTATTATTTGATTTTATATTACTTCACATTTCAAATATATCAAATCAATATTTACAACAAAATTTTTAATGTATCATTTAATATCAACTGATCATTTAACATCAAATTGTCAACTGACAATAATTGATATCAGTTTCTGCAGTCATACGAAATCAACCAAAGGAAACCATTTCATAAGTAATATCACTTCATCAATTGATACTAACTTATATCATTTCATCAGATGATATTAAATGATATTGCTCATTAACATTTGGTCATTTAAAATCACTTCATCAATTGATAACAAGTAATAGCATCGTATACCATTTGGTCATTTAAAACTGTCCAAAACCACTTCAGAAATGATATTTTTTAAGATTGTCACTATATTATTTACATTCAGTATATTCTTATAAAATAATGGTATTAAATCTTTATATACTAAGCAATGACTTAAGATTATCTATCAATAATTTTTAAGAACTGTATTAAATATCATTTATTAAAAGTTACAGATCTTCAACATGTAACATTCATAGATAACATTAAAGAACTGTATATAGATTTTTAAAAATTTTCATTTTAAATCATCATATTTTACAACAATTTAAACATAAAGATATTTTCAAAAATTACTAAATAAAAATACACATTATTTATCTAATCTTACTTTTCACAATTTTATATAATTTAAATAATAATATAATAAGTAATAATAAAATACTTAAAATAATTAATTTATAAGTATTATATCAAATCAATATTTACAACATAATTTTTAATGTATCATTTAATATCAACTGATCATTTAACATCAAATTGTCAACTTACATTATTTAAGAAGTATTATATTATAAATAAATATTATATTATAAGTAATAGTCAGTAATTGTTACATGTATGTAAATCTCATTATACATTTAAAAATTACAGTCATATTTACTCAAACAAGTTAAAATGTGATTGGAACCAAATAAAATTGTACTGATATTAATGAAATATTTTCATTACAAAAATTTATAAATTAGAATATAAAATTTTAAAATTTCACATTTGTTAAACATTAATTTACACTTTAAAAAAATGATTAAACAGTTTACACAAAAAAAGATGCATTTGGTTCTATTTATTATTAAGCATATATCATAACAACAATTACTAAAAACGTTTTTAACTTATAGGTGAAAATCAAATAAAACAGTTTCAAATCAATTAACAGTTATTTACTGTATATTTATTGTGAAAATAATTAGAAAAAATCTGCCAAACTATTTCAACAGTCTTTGCTATTGCTATTAATCGTAGTCTTTTCTGTATTGTGTATCTTTTAAAATAAGAATACAGTGGTGCCTCATATAACATACTTAATCTGTTCTAGCTGCACATCCATTAAGTGAAAAGTCCATTATACGAAATGCATTTTCCCATAGAAATACATATTAAAACATATAATTCGTTCCACAGCATAAAATAACCATACTATACCATAAAAAAAATGAAAATAGAGCAGTCACCAATTATGCCAGGTAGTCAGATGTTGTGAGGAGGAAGTGGAGGAACACTTCTGTTACACATTCATACAGATACAGACTTTTTTACACATTGCAGCAGCTCTCTTTTTATTGCTTTTTAATTGGAGTCAGATTCAGGAGAGGCTACCAGAGCTTGCAGGGTCAACTCCTCTTGTTCCATTCTTTGTTTTTTGCCTGCAGGCTTCTTAAAAAACATGTCCAAGGCGGTCTGTTTCTCTCTTCTTCAACACCTGTCAGAAATGACGGGCAAGGGTGTCATTGTAGAGATCATTGATCCTGTTGGCCTCAGCTCTGCTTGGATAATGAGTGTTGGTAAACTCCTGAACCTCTCTCCATTCTACAAGGAAGTTTTTGTCAACTTTCACTCCTTCTGATGATTTCTTGTTTTGTTTCAATTGAAATCACCTTTCTGTTTTTTAGAAGCCATGATTTGCACAACACTTGAATAAATGTACTGAGATGATGTACGTAATAAATAAGGGAGCAAGCCGAATCCCAACGGGAACTCTGTACTTCAGATATACTAATAATGTATTCTAATAATACTAATATATTATAAAAATAGTAGATGGTCATTGGCAATGGCAAAAGAGTGAAAACATCATTCGCACTTGTTCGCAAAAAGTTGGTTGTGTCGCCTCACCTAACTGCCGAACAAAAAGTCTGTTGTTCACAGCCAGTCCGTTGATCGAGTCACGTAATGGCCAAACAGAAAGTCCATTGTTCGTAGCGTCCGTTATTCGAGGTGTACATTATATGAGGCACCACTGTACATAATGACAGAATTTTTGTTATTAAGAAAAACCATATATTATATATGAGGATAAAATGATAATTTTTGTAGTGAGTAAATATAGCAATAGAAATTTGTTATTTATTATTTATATTTAAACTGTTTCTGCTTTTTTCTTCTGTATTTGCTATCAATTTGAATTACTAACAGAGATCAAAGATTTATTTATAAATTTTATAATTGATGAAGTCAATAAACAAATATTTCAAAAAATAAAAATGAATTTTATTAATAAAAAAATTATTAATTAATTCAAATTTAAATATTATTAATTTTATTTATATACAAATATAAATATCATGTTTTGTATCTAATCATAGTATTTAATAATAAATATATAAAAACTAAATTATGAATTAAAAATTCCGTATAAAGATTTACATGTAATTAAATGTTATACTTGATACAATATTTAACATTTAATTTCATTAGATGAATGATATTTTACAATCTACTTATTCATAATGTTACAGTTACTACAATAATTTAAATGAGTCTATTACATTAAAATCTGTTTTTATTTAAATTCAATTAACCAAAATATATCATTAATTCATCAATTCTACTTATAAGTGTCATATATGTAAGCTATATTCGTACCTCATTGCATATGAAATGCACAAATGTTTCTACTGATTGTAAACAATATTCTCTTAGTTCCGTTGACATTAAAATTGCCAAACAATTAAAAAAGTGTGAATATTGATTAGAATCTAATTGTGGAACTAATTTCTTTTTAATTCCTTTTGAAATTACTTCTGTAACAGCTGAATACCATCTGTGAAATAACCATAAATAATTACTGAAATTTAAGCTATTCAATTTATTAAATATAATAATACAGTTGTCCCTTGATAGTCCGATGTTTTGTAATCCAACATGCTCAGTAGTCCGACGCACTTCCCGTCAAGGTCACCGTAGTCTCCGTCCCCGTTACGTGTCTGCTTGCATAGAAGCATGTCACAACCTGAATCTCCCCACCCAATTCTTACATAATGACACACATTTCGTGTGTTTTCGGTGAGCAGTTCTGTTCGAACAGTTGAAGTACGGAATATTGTAGGCTACTGCTAGCAAGACAATGCAAAATATGTAATCACTTTCGGTAATCTGGACACTTTTGGTAATCCGACACCCCTTTGATCCCATACCTTTCGGATTATCAAGGGACAACTGTATTGGAAAATTAAAAACTGTATGAAATTACAATTTCAGAAGCACCTTAGATCATTCTACAAGTCACTGTGTTTAATTTAAACAATTTGAAAAAAATTAATTTTTTTATTTCATTTGTTAACATTTCTCAAATTAAATAGACAAAGTTTATCATCCATTAAAATTTTATTTATCTATAAAATGCTGTGTGAAACTATAGTGACTTTGAAAAAGCTTTTAATATAATTAACTGTATCCAATGTCAATCTGAAACACTTTAAATTTCATAAATATATACTGTATATCATTTATTATATATTATAAATCATCTACACATAATTTAAAACTTTAAGTTTAAATAAATAATTACCTTTCCAATAATAATGCATTTGAATTCTTAAGTTGTTCAGAAATCTTCAACACGAAGGTTTGTATATCAATGACATCATCTTGTTTCTTCAAGAGATTTATATCAATCATACAAAATGTAAATGCTTGATACCATATAGCTAAAAGCTTGTGAATACTAGGATTCATTATATGCAAATATTTATTTATGATTTTTCTGTTTGATATAAATCTAGTCATCCATTCTTTTGGTAAACTAGATATTTCTATTCTATAACTAAATAATGCTTCAGATTTTAATATTTTTTCTTCAGGCTTGATTAACAAGTAGTCAACTATTTTAAAAAGTTATAAATCAAAGATTATCAATAATAAAATGTGATATTATCATATTACATATTGTATATATCACAAAATGCAATATGAAATATATATATTTCATATTGCATTTATATACCTATATTATGTAATCATATTTGATATGAATAAACTGATTTTGTGTAATGTGAAATTTTTATTTATCACTGAAGATAGAGAAAAATTAATAAATACTATTATATAATTTAACACAACGAAATCAACATTTATTTAAAGCCACATAAAATAAAATTTAAAGATTTATGTAATTAAAATTGAAAATGATACATTTTAACCACTTCTGTACAATACCTCTTTCATTTATGCAGTTGTGCAGTCTCACAGTCTGCTTATCATTTAATAAAAAATGCATATATATCAGTGANGCCTGTGCCATGCTTGCCAATATTGTGCTATTAAGTCCTTTACTAACACTGTATTTGTGCTCTTTTATACACACTGCAAGGTTTCTTCTGGTCACCCCTACATATTCTTTATCGACTCCTAGTACAAGAAGGCACTTATAAAGAGGGCCTTCTTGTACTGCACCAATGTGCAAGACCGTGACAAGGAAATGGATAGAATACAAAAGGTAGCAAGAAGTTTAGGATACAAAACGGCCACAATCAGAGGCCTTATCAGAAGTTATGGAAAACAACAGAAGCTAAAGAACTACAACAGCGCATAGCAACACAACTGCATTCAACAAGTTCACATACAATGAACAGACAAGAAAAGTAGTGGATGAGCTAGGAAAATACAAAAATACAAGGATAATTTACAAATGAGCACCCAACATATATAGATTATTAAGGAACGATAAGGACAAAATAAGAATGGAAGAGCAAGCGGGGTGTACACTATCCCATATGAAAACCAACAAATAGGAGTCGATAAAGAATATGTAGGGGTGACCAGAAGAAACCTTGCAGTGCGTATAAAAGAGCACAAAAACAGTGTTAGTAAAGGACTTAATAGCACAATATTGGCAAGCATGGCACAGGCCGACGGAGCAATAGTTAAGTGGGATGAAGCGAAGATCATAAGAACAGTGCACTCACCGTCTCTAGCGATGGAAATGGAAAAAATAGAGATACAAAAGTAAAATGAGGAACCGATGTTTAAATGAATAGGATGCAAATACATTACCAACAGCATGGAAATACAAAATACAAAAATGTATGGGTTTCAATAATCCATAAAGTGGGAACTGGGGTTTATAAGAAGTTATTATTTTATAAATTTAGACGCATGTAAAAATATGTTATTTAATGTTATTTAATGTTTGTAACGCGTATAAGGACATATTTATTTTACTTATTTTATTTTATTTATTTACTTTATTTTGTTTATTTATGTAATATACAAAAAGTTGTTAACTTATTTCGAAAATTCAAATCAAAATGAAATTTGAACGAATGGTTCCAATTTGGAACGATAAAAAAAAGCCTGAGGATGGCCTATCCAAATAGGCCAAAAACATTTGAATAAAAAGAAAAAAAAGCTCGGCAAGTAGAATTCAGGTGTGTTCATATTTATATGGTATCAGTATGCTGAACTGGTACTGATATTAATAGTTTATCATTTACTCAATAAATATTACTCAATTAATCATTACTTCCAGGCCAAGATAATGTGTTATCAAGTCAGAAAAGATGGTCTAAACAATAATTTTGATAATTGAATATTTCACTAATGACATTGCTAATTTTTTATAGCCTTATATTATTTTTGTGTTCTTTAGTAAATTCAAATTCAGAAGGATGCAAATGATGTTCATTAGACTAGCTGAAAGCAGGCTGGTTGACAAGGTGACAAGACACAAGCCTATTGCTCTGAAAGACCTAGGATCAAATTCAGGCAGGTCAAAAAAACAGAAATTTTTCTGAGGTGGTCTGTTCCAGATATGGCAGGTCCCATTTCTCATTGTCTGGCCATCCCATTGTAGGCCTTGATGAACACATGATAAGCCTGAGGAAAAAAGTTCTCTTAGAATGAAGTAGAAAGATAAAAAAAAAACTAGCTGAAAAAATTTCATAATACACATTATTTTTTATGAA